AGAAGAAGAAGAAGAAGAAGAAGAAGAAGAAGAAGAAGAAGAAGAAGCATATACATGTAAATTTTTAGAGAGAAGTAAGGGCTACAAAGTCTACCTCAAGTTATTCTTAGGAGATCCACCTAGCTACTACACATAAGTTACCCTGTGAAAGGCACAGGGAATACTTTATCTGCTCTGCACTAGCGCACAATATCCTGTGAGCTAATGGACAAGGACGTTGACTTCTTTCTGAGCTCACATCCAAAGTCTTTAAGGAATATTCTTACAATGTATGATATAACAATGCTCAATTATACAGAGAGAGAAACTATGTTATCTTTTTAAGAAAAGAATATTTTATTTATTTATTTACCTGCCTGCCTATTTCAGTTTATTCCCTTTCATATATTCCTGGGAAAATTAAAATGTAAAATCCAATAAAATGATCCTAATAGCATTTTTAAACTTGTAAAACTCCCTAAATAAATTTTATTGCATACATCATTTAATAACATTTAACCATGCATGGAGGATTAGTATTTTGATTTATTAGCAGTGAAAAGTGAGAATCCATAAAAATTACATGCAACAGGTCACATGGTCGTAAATGTTGGAGGAAGAACGGGCTCCATTCTGCTTCTCCCTACAGAGTTATTGTCCCCCACCCCCAACCCTTTGTATTACTCTATCTTTGTAATACCCAAGCAAAGAATATAATACATTGGGGAGCTGCTAACTTCTTGACAGTAATGATTGCTCTGAATAAGTTTTTTAATCCTGATCTATATCAAGAAAGTTTAGAATAAAAACATCAAAACATTTCTGTAGTTTTGCACACATTGCAGAATAAAGGTTCTTTATCTATTTCAAAATTTAAACATGCCCCTGGTCATTGAAACTCACTGATATAAAGCTGAGGCTGAGCTGGAAGTTTCCCTTTATGCTGGCTGGATTTCAGCAGGAAGGTGCCATGGAGGCTGCTGGGAGGGAAAAGTCATTAATGGGCTTATCCAGCTATGAACCCATGAACTACAGCACTAAGCTGCCAGGCAAGATATGTCCATATTCCAAAATGCTGGAATAACTATTCTAGGATTAGCAGCCCTTTCTTGGAATAGATTTTTGTCCCGTCCTACAAGTGGTTATCCAAGGCTGGTATTGATAATGTGGCCAAAGACACCAATAAGAGAGGTCTATGACCTTGATGTTTGCGGTGCAGGGAGGGGGATTATTATTGTGGTTTAGTTAAATTAGCAACGGCTCCAGACTACTGTCTAAGGATTTATATTTATACCCATTAACAAATGTCACTTCTCTTTATAGTAAACAGTAGTGAATGATATTCTTAGAGGTACAAGTTGCTAGAAGCAAAAGATGGTTTTGTGAACAACATTGAAATGGATATTTGAAACACACCCTCTAAGGATCATGGAGCACTGATGAAAAGGGAGCAGACAGAAAAGGACCAATTCCTGGCCTGCTGGAGCACGCCAGCAACAGCAAGCATGGTGTGCCCTGATATCTCCATGGTCCATCTCCCCAATGCACTATACTCTCCTGGGCCTGCTCTATTTTCCGGGCCTCATCCCTACCTCCAATCCTAGAGACTAGCAGCCATTAGGAACCACCAAGTGAGAATCCTCCACCAGTTTCTTGTCTGACAGAACTCACTGCAAAACCCAGGAACAATACAACCTGCCCTGGGCTGTTCATACGCTCCATTTCCCAGGCCCTATCTTTACCTGCAGTCTCAGTCAGGCAGGTATCAGGGATTACCGGTTAAGAGCCAATTTCTTGCCTGCTAGAGCCTCCCAGGCAGACCCGGCAGTGCGTGGTCTGTCTTGGCAGTCTGTGCTCCATCTCCCAGTCACATTCCATTTTCCATGCTGTATCTCTACCTGAAATCTCAGACACAGACAGCCATCAAGGACCATCAGGCCACATCTCTAACTGCAATCTCAGAGACAGATAGCCATTAGAGGCTACCAGCTCTCTCTTTATCCCTGGAGGCCTGCTGTCACCTAGGAGAGACAGAGGACTTCTGCTACGTGGGACGACTAGCTATACCCGCAATCCCAGAGGCCTACTACCATCACGAACCACCAGGCCTGGCCACATCAGTGACAACCAGATGGCTAGAGGTCAGCAAAAGAACATAAGCAGCAAAACCCAGAGCCATAATAACACCAATGAAATCCAATTATCCTGTTACAGTAAGCCCTGGATGTCCTATAACACCTAAATCATATATATATATATATGTCATATATTATCTCACATTTAATATATCATATATATGTATACAAACATGTATATATGTATACATGTATATATATGATATATATAATATATTAGTATGTTTATCCTATATTATATGGCTAATATCTACTTAGAAGTGAGCATATACCTTATGTGTTTTTATCCTTCTGGATTACCTGCCTCAGAATGACCTTTTCCAGTTCCATCCATTTGCCTCCAAATTTCACTATTTCCTTGTTTTTAATTGCTTAGTAGTATTCCATTGTGTAAATGTACTATAATTTCTGTATCTATTCTTCAGTTGCGGGATATCTAGGTTGTTTCCAGATTCCATGTTATGAGTAAAGCTCCTATGAACATAGTTGAGCAAAACACCTTGTTATATTATTGAGCATCTTTCAGATATATGCACAGGAGTGATATAGCTGGATCTACCTGAGTGAGGTAACCCAGAAGCAGAAAGATATACATGGTGTATACTCACTCATAAGTGGATATTAGCCATATAACATAGGATAAACACACTAAAATCTATAGTCCTAAAGAAGCTAAACAACAAGGAGGTCCCTAGAAAAGAGACTTAATCCTCCTTCAGAACGGCAAATAGGATAGACATTGGAAGTAGGAGAAGACAGGGAACAGGACAGGAGCCTTCCACAGGGGGTGTCTGAAAGACTCTATCAATCATGGTATTGAAGGAGATGCTGAGACTCATAGCCAAACTATGGGCAGAGTGCAGGGAATCTTCTGGAAGAAAGGGAAGATAGAAAGACCTGGAGGAGACAGGAGCTCCACAAGGAGAGCAACAGAGCCAAAAAAGCTGGTCTCAGGGGGTCCTGCAAGGACTGATGAATCAACCAAAGTCCTAGCATGGTAAGGACCTAGACCCCTGCTCAGATGTAGCCCATGGCAGCTCAGTCTCCATGTGTGTTATGTGTGTTCCCTCGTAAGGGGAGCAGGAGCTGTCTTTGGCATAAACTCAGTGGCAGGCTCTCTGATCAGCTCCCCCTGGGGAGTGCAGCCTTGCCAGATCATAGAGGAAAACAATGCAGCTAGTCCTGATGAGACCTGATAGGCTAGGGTCAGACAGTAGGGCAGGAAGACTTCCCCTACCAGTGCACTAGGGGAAGGACACAGGACGA